TGTGATCTCTTGCTTCTACTGGCTTTTACTCATGGTGACATCAATTTGTGTGTTTTGTGATTTCTTTTTTAACTGTTAACTCATATTTCCAGGGAAAATGGTTGTGGCAGTTTCTTGAGCTCAAGTTTGAAGAGAGCTTCCTCTTCAGGGCTTGAATTTGTGTCTGCCATTCACTCTGGGTGCTACTATCCCAGGGTTACATTCAATTAAATTCTTGACTTGCTATTTCTTTGAACCATCCAGATGGTTATTTAATGCAGGGTACAAAACTGTATTTGAGCTAGTCTGTGAGTTTTCAGGGGACACATTTTTCCTTATATTTTTCAGTCTGAGATAGGCAGTTTTCCCCAGGGTCCTTTGGGAAAAGGGAGAATTGGGTTTTTTTTCTAACCATCCTTACTCTAAGAGAATAAAACTATTGGCCCACTTTGTATTTTGGGCCGTAACTTCACGCAGCATTTTCTACCTGACTCCTTGTCTCCAGTGACTATGACTTTATCTCCTATTCCCTGGGCTCCATGATCCATGAAAACCAACTACTGTTTGAATGATGCTCTCAAAGGAAAAGCTAAGTGCTTTGCATACCCCACTGGGCTCCCACTTTCTCTCGTTCGTTGACCTTTGGGTATTCCTCATTAAACTGCCAGCCAATCGACACATTTTGAAAAGAATTTTTTTTTTTAATTCTTAGAAGAAAACATAGAGGAAAAGCTTTATGACCTTAGATTTGGCAATTATTTCTTGGAAATGACACCAAAGGCACAGGCAGAAAAAAAGAAAAAGTAGATAAATTGGACTACATCAATATGTAAAACTTCTGTGCACCGAAGGATGTAATCAACAAAGTGAAGAGGCAAACTTATGAACTGGAAGAAAATAATTGCAAGTTATGTATCTGATAAGGGGTTAACATCTAGAATATATTTTTAAAAATTGCTATAACTCGGCTGGGCATGGTGGCTCATGTCTGTAATCCCAGCACTTCCGGAGGCTGAGTCAGGCAGATTGTTTGAGTCTAAGAGTTCAAGACCAGCCTAGCACCAAGGTGAAACCCTATCTCTACAAAGAATTAGCCTGGCATGCTGGCATGCACCTGTAGTCCCAGCTGCTCAGGAGGCTGAGACAGGAGGATTGCCTAAGCCCGGGAGGTAGAGGCTGCAGTGAGCTGGAATCACATCACTGCACTCCAGCCTGTGTGACAGAGTGAAACCCTGTCAACAAAACAAAACAAAACAACTGCTACAACTCAACAACAAAACAGCAAGCAACCTGATTTCCTTCCTTCCTTCCCTCCTTCCTTCCCTCCTTCTTTCCCTCCTTCCTCCCTCCCTCCTTCCTCTGTCCCTCCCTCCCTTTCTTTCTCCCTTCCTCCCTACCTTCCTTCCTCCCTCCCTTCCTCGCTTCCTCTCTTTCTTTCTTGGTGTCTCACTGTGTCACCCAGGCTGGAGTGCAGTGGTACAATCGATTTAACCTGACTGCAACCTCCACCTCTCAGGTTCAAGTGATTCTCGTGCATCAGTCTCCCAAGTAGCTGAGACTACAGGTGCACGCCACCAGGCCAGGCTAGTTTCTTTTGTTTTGTTTTTATAGTAGAGACAGGGTTTTACCATGTTGGCCAGGCTGGTCTCAAACGCCTGTCCTCTAGCAATCCACCCGCCTTGGCCTCCCAAAGTGCCGGGATTATAGGCATAAGCCACCACGCCTGGCCACAACCTGATTTAAAACAGGCAAGGAATTTAACTAGACATTCATCAAAGAAGATATACAAATGGCCAATACATGCATGAAAAAATGTTCAACATCACTAATCACTAAGGAAATGCAAATCAAAACCACAATGACATGCCAATCTCGCTATGAAAAAAACAGAAAGTAACAAATGTTGACAAGGATGTGGAAAAGTTGTAACCTTGTGCACTGTTAGTGACAATGTGAAATGGTGCAGCTAATATGGAAAACAGTATGACAGCTCCTCAAAAACATAAAAATAGAATCACCATATAATTCAGAAACATTGCTTGTGAATATATGCCCCAAATAATTAAAAGCAGGATCTCAGAGAGAGATTTCTATACCCGTGCTGACAGCAGTGTTATTCATGATAGCCAAAAGGTGGAAGCAACCCAAGGGTCCATCAACAGCTGAATGAATAAACAGAATGTGATGTATACAGACAATGGAATATTATTCAGCCTTAAGAAGGGGGGAAATTCCGATGCACGCTGCTGCAGCATGAGATGAATCTTGAGGACATTGTGCTAAGTGAAAAACCCAGTCGCAAAATGACAAATACTGTATAATTCCACTTACACCATGGAGCCAGGTAGTCAGATTTATACAGAGAGAAAATAGAATGGTGGTTACCAGGGTCTGCGAAAAGAGAATGGGGAGTTATTGTTTAATAAGTAGAGTTTCAATTTTGCAAGATGAAAAGAGTTCTGGAGACGGATGGTGGTTAGGATTGCACAGCATGCGAATGCTTGATGCCACTGAACTGGATACTTAAAAATGGCTAAGGTGGTAAATGTTATGTGCATTTTGCCACAGTCTTAAAGTTATTTTAAATATGTAGCCTGCAATTTTAGTTGCCTTTATTCAGAGCATCAGTCAGGGTACCCAGTCTGCTCAAGCTGGAAATAAGATGTTGTCCATGCGAGTTAAAAGCGATTCTTGGCTGGGCAAGGTGGCTCATGCCTGTAATCCCAACATTTTGGGAGGCCAAGGCGGGTGGATCATGAGGTCAGGAGTTCAATACCAGCCTGGCCAACATAGTGACACAGGAGAATTGCTTGAACCCAGGAGGCGGAGGTTGCAGTGAGCCGAGATTGTGCCATTGTCTCCAGCCTGGGCAACAGGGTGAGACTCTGTCTAAAAGCAAAACAAAACAAAAATCCTTAGCAGTTCCTTAAAGGTAGCCCTCTTGCTAATCTGGAGACTGCTGAGGAATTCTATCTCGGATAGCATGGTCCTTGCCATGGCAGTACTGGTGCCAAAGGAGTGACGGTGCAAACCTCTGATTAGGAGCTTTAGGACCCAATCAAGGGCCTGTTTAGCACAGACCGATGTTAACATAGGCACTGACATGCCGCATTGGCTCCTCTGTCCGAAACATGCTTGCAGAATCCAATCCAGCACTCAAACCAGGCACCTCTCATTAAAGAGGCCTTGGGCACCAGCTCTGTAGTTAAGGTTGCAAGCGCCTTTTTAATCTCTGCCGAAGTATAATTTGGAATCCTATATCTGACCATGTCATTACCTCAAAAAACCTGGAATTCTCCAAACTCCACCAAAGCCTCTTCTAGGCTTAAATTTTGAACTGAAGGGATCCTCAGGCTGTGGTGGCTCTAACTGCTAAAAGGTGGCCTGTTCACGACATTCTCATAATTTACATTTTAAAATACTCTCTCCTTTCATTGGGTGGGGATTTAACTGTCATTGGTACCCATTGTTACCACAGGAAGTGACCTGGCTGTGGGCCCTCTGCACAGGAAACTGTGGGAGCTTAGGCTGGCTCCAGGGCTCATGTGTTGACTCCAATCCAGATGCTTCCATATGAGGAGCTCCTAGTTGCTGAATCTGCACAGTCCAGTTCTCAGAGGACCTCCAACTCGTAATCATATTTAGGGCTATGGCCGGGCGAGGTGGCTCACACCTGCAATCCCAGCACTTTGGGAGGCTGAGGCGGGCGAATCACCTGAGTTTAGGAGTTTGAGACCATCCTGGCCAACATGGTGAAACCTGTCTCTTCTAAAATTACAAAAATTAGCTGGTCATGGTGGCAGACACCTATAATCCCAACTATTCAGGAGGCTGAGGCAGGAGAATCGCTTGAACCCAGGAGGCGGAGGTTGCAGTGAGCCAAGATCGTGCCACTGTACTCCAGCCTGGTGGACAAGAGTGAGACAGTCTTAAAAAAAAATTAGGACTATGAATGACTGATGATTTAACTATTATAATTTTTCTTTAGTTATTAGAAGATTGGCATAGTCACACCTCTCTACAAAAAATAACACAATCAGGCCAGGAACAGTGGCTCACGCCTGTAATCCCAGCTGATGTGCTCAGTAGGTCTATTTTTTATGACATGGCCTATTATTAAATAATTATTCTGATTATTTCTTTATTATTTTATGACTAGGTATATTATTTCATCAGATGAAAACCTTAAATCCAAATCTGAGGAGGCAGAACTAACTGAACAATGTACTCTGCTCCCTTCCCCAGCGAGCTGTACCTTGATGGCAATTACTTGGAATGTTCCGGAGCATTGGCTCTTCTCAGGCCCATAGCAGACTACGCAGAGATGCAGGGGAAAGACCAGCTGGCCCCAGCCTCACCAGACGCTGGAAATCCCCCTCCGCGGCTCCAAGGTAAGTGCTGGGGAACTTGGCACTACAATCCTGTTGGGGCCACCTAAAAGGAGGACGCTTTGCTTTCTGATTAAAAGTGACCTTCTCGGTGGTCAAGTCTGATTCTTCTTCTTGAATATGTGTGGGACACAAAATAATGGCTCCCAAAGATTCTTTGCCCTAATCTTCAGAACCTGTGAATATGTCACCACACATGGCAAAAGTGACTCTGCCCGTAAGTTAAGGATGAAATAGGAAGATCATCTTGGATCATCCTCATGGGTCCAGTGTAATCACAAGGATCTTTCTAGGAGGGAGGCAGGAGAGTCCAAGGAGATGTGGCCATGGAAGCAGAGGTTGGAGTGACGTGTGGTCGGGGCCAGGAGCCAGGGAACGTAGGCAGCCTCTACAAGGTGGAAAAGGCAAGCAAAGTAATTTTCCTCGGGGCTTTTAAAGGAATACAGCTCTGTGGACACCTTGACTTTCACCTTTAAAACCTATTTCAGAGTTCAGACCTCCAGCACTATAAGATCTGAAACTTGTATTGTTTTAAGGCACTAAGTGTGTGGTCATTTGCAACAGCCTCAAGAGAAAGCTAGTAGTGTGTTAATCAGATTCTTTAGGTTAAAAGTGAAAGCAACCCAAACAGAATTAAAGACGATTATGGGTTTATTGGCTCACATAACTGTGACATCCATGGGTACAGCTGTCTTCAGAGATCACCAAAGTCAGGGACTCAAACCACCTCATTAGGAGACTTAGAATTTGCTGCTGTTGACTCTACTTCCAAGGGTTGGCCTTCCTTCCTCCGGCTGCAGCCAGGCTTTCTCCAAGCAGGAAAAGACCGCTGATGTGCCTGCCGACAGTCCCAGGACTGTATCATCATGACTATCATCAACCAGAAAGTAAAGCCTTTCTTCCAGTGACTATGTGTCAGATCCCATAGGGAGATTCTGATTGGCCCTCCTTGGGTCACATACCTACCTCTTGGCCCAATCTCAGGTCAGGGTGAACTGTGATTGGCCAGGATGTATCCCACACCCATCCTTGGAGGGTAGAACACTGTGCCCAATAGCCCTGCCAGCACCACCGGATTTGCAGTGGGCAATTGGCAGTCCCCCAAAGAGTAGACAGATGGGAGAACAAATGCAGGACAGACCAGAACAACAGCTGCTTACACCCCTGTAAATGGTTTTCCATAGCTGACGTTTAACTTCAGCTGACAGCCACATATTGGGCATTGGGGCTGGGAGTAGATGGGGGAAGAGAGGCTAAATCTGGCAACGCTATTCCATTCCCATCACTTGTGAACAAGATTTCTCAGCACTTCAATTATAACAATGAAAAATGGAAATAGAATTGATGCTAAACTCTGCCTCATGCTAGCAGTAATATTCAATGGATACATGAATTAATTATAAAAACAACTAGGCCAGGTGTGATGGCTCACACCTGTAATCCCAGCACTTTGGGAGGCCAACACGAGGCAGAACACGAGGTCAAGAGATCAAGGCCATCGTGGCCAACATGGTGAAACCCCCTCTCTACTAAAAATACAAAATCTAGCTGGGCATGGTGGCGCGCCTGTAATCTCAGCTACTTGGGAGGCTGAGGTGCGAGAAATTGCTTGAACCCCGGGAAGCGGAGGTTGCAGTGAGACAAGATTGCACCACTGCACTCAGCCTGGGTGACAGAGCGAGACTCCATCTCGAAATAAAATAAAATGTAAATAAAACAGCACCATCCATCTCACAGAGCAATGCATTCAGAATTTATTTTTGTATGTAATTAGGATGAATTACATACTTCTAAAAATTGATGAATAACTGGAGAAGAAATTTTTAGTACTTTAGAGCCTTATAATTCCAATTTTTTTAAAATTTTTTGAGACAGGGTCTCACTCGGTCACCCAGGCTGGTGTGCAGTGGTGCGATATTTGCTCACCGCAACCTCCGCCTCCCAGGTTCGAGCAATTCTCCTACCTCAGCCTTCCAAGTAGCCGAGGCAAAGGTCACTACCATGCCTGGCTAATTTTTGTATTTTTAGTAGAGATAAGGTTTCTCTACGCTGGCTGGGCTGGTCTCGAACTCCTGGACTGCAGCAATCCACCCACCTCAGCTTCCCAAAGTGCTGGGATTACAGGTATGAGCCACGGCGCCCAGCCTGATCCCAAGACATTTTTAAATTTGAGTATTTGTACATGTAGCATTTTTATTACAGAGAAATATTACAGGATTAGCTATAAAGTATGTTTTAATACAAGATTTTACAGAATAAATAGAATGGAAATAAAAGTAAAACACAAGAAAAGGGAATAATAATGTCAATTGCTAAAGAAGAGTTTGCTCATGTTTGCTGTTGTTGCAGTGTTCTGGTGAATGAGGGCAAGTATCAAATGGTTTGGTTTAGATTCCATTTGATCCACTAAAGGGAAGGATATAACAGTTTTTATGTTTAAATGTTACTATTTGCCATATTCTAAAAATCTCTTTTGAAAATTCAAAAGTGATGATGAAAAACTTAGATATCAACCTAAAAATGTGCAAGATGGTACGTAAACTTTTTAACATTCCTCTAGGATGTTATAAGAGCAAAAATGTTTGAGACCACTGCTCTGTGAGGCTAAATGTTTGATCTCCTGTTCTGTGAGCTACTCCCAGGCCTCTTGGTAACTATTCCTTCTGGTCAGAGTCAGGCACAGTGGCTTTCAGTTGATGGCAACCAAAGGGCCCAAATGCCTTAGGACCCAGTGACAAGTTTGTTTTCTTTTTCTTTTTTTTTCTTTTTTCTTTTTTTTGCATTTTAGGTTTGGGGGTACATGTGAAGAACATGCAAGATTGTTGCACAGGTACACACATGGCAGCGTGATTTGCTGCCTTCCTCCCCTTCACCTATATCTGGCATTACTCCCCATGCTATCTCTCCCCAACTCCCCACCCCACACTGTCCCTCCCCTGTTTCCTCCCAAGAGACCCCAGTGTGTGATGCTCCCCTCCCTGTGTCCATGTGTTCTCATTGTTCAACGCCCACCTATGAGTGAGAACGTGTGGTGTTTGATTTTCTGTTCTTGTGTCAGTTTGCTAAGAAGGATGGTTTCCAGGTTCATCCATGTCCCTACAAAGGACACGAACTCATCGTTTTTGATGGCTGCATAATATTCCATGGTGTATATGTGCCACATTTTCCCCATCCAGTCTATCATCGATGGGCATTTGGGTTGGTTCCAGGTCTTTGCTATTGTAAACAGTGCTGCAATGAACATTCGTATGCATGTGTCCTTATAGTAGAACAATTTATAATCCTTTGGATATATATCCAGTA